TGGGTTGTTTTGAATGGATGGTTAGACCAAAATCTAACTTGGCTAACTAGTCTTGGGAATTTATAATCTTGTAGTGTGAAGACTGTGACAGGAAAAAGAATGATCAGTTGACAGAATTAACCTGTGGTACCCAGGTTACAAATAACCATGTGCCCAAGGGCTTGACAATTCTAGGACCATTTCCTGGGAATCCTACAGGATTTAGAGAAATGATTGGAAAGACAGAGGCAGCATTGGGCAGTCAGACATGAAAGGGACTTGACATGACTTACTCCTGAGAACACTGGGCAGTACTAAGGCTATATCTGAATTACCATGCCCTTGGCTTACAGCATAATGGACACTTGCAAACTACTTCTCAAATGGCTGTACAAGTAACTGAGGGTTGTAAAGACAGCATCCAGATCAGCTGTCTGCCATCATAGAAAGCTCAAGGGCAGCACACTAGGAAGCAGTGATGCATGTGGCCTTGCTGGCATTCTCAGCATCACTTCCCTGGTGTGGCTAAACTGGAGTGACAGCATCCATCAGTGGTCACAGAGAACAGATTATAAGCCTAACTCAGGGTTCACTGGCACATTGTTCATGCTATTAATCAAGGAATCTATGATGCCATGAACCAGCAGTCCTTGGCTATGTTTGCTGGCCACTAAGCACCCAGTGGCCCTTTGGGGTATAAAAATTATTCTGATTTGTGTAGATCCGAATAGTATTGTAATGAGAACAATCTAATGTTTTGGTTCTGTTCAATTTTCCTTCCCTTTTGAGACCTGGAATAACTTCAGGTTATTAAACTTTATGCAGGGAGAGGAGGTCAGGGCCCATTAGCTTTACGTTTCAATGCTTTCTTAGCACTGAACAGTAGTCCACTGAGCACCTTGGTGGCTTAGGGCAAATGTAGTTTGCTGAAAGTTGGGAAAGGGAAAGTGCCTCCATCAAGACTGTGTCAAATATAATGTCACCCTCTAAATGTCTCTGTGGGAAGTACTCCTGGGTTTGCTAGACAGCAGGCCTGCCTCCTCACAAAGTCACAAAACCTTCTGGGTTTCTGGCAGGCTGGTCCCCATCATCACTGCTGCATGAAGAGATGAGTGAATGTATTTGTAAAACAGACTGGCAAAGCGCCATGGGTAAGGATACTCTGGTGTCTTCTCATCATAGCAGGACTTTGTCCTTGGCTGTGAATGACAAGGTCTGGCTGGGAGAAGGGGCTGCTTGTTTACTGATGAATATTCCACCAGGAGTAACTGCCGCCTGTGCCCATGGTAAGCCCTTCCCAGATGTGTCCATAGTCTTTCCATCTTGCCCTCTGGAGAGACTCATTTGCTCCCTTCACAGTGAGTTCTTGTTGGGGGTCTACCCTCTCTAATAGCTCAGCATGCCTCCCGTTACTTAGTTACCTTAATGTTTTCCTTCCTAATGGGCTTACTTTGTTCCCTTATGTCCTCACCTCTCTGCCACCCACCCACCCATGTGCCCGCCAGAACAAATCTCCAGGGACCTTGGCATCTGTGTGTGTTTTATGTACTTCCCTAGCCTAAAATCTACTACAAGCTTGATACCTCCTCAGTGTGGAATATTTTTGGAATCACTGCATGCTAGAGTCACATTGCTTTTCTTCCTCTAAATGCCCAAAGAAAGCTCAAGAATAAGCTATCAGAAGGAAATAGTCAGTGGTCCCTTCCATAAAGAATCACAAAAAGATGAATCAGGAAAAATTGTCTACAGGCAGAAAATGTCCCTCAGCCCCATCACTGTTTGTCATCCAAAGAGCTATCACAGACAAGGGTGTTATGAGGGCTTTCTACCAAGTGCCTCAGGGTTACAGCATTTGACCAGCATGCCTGGTTACCAATCAGTACCAAAGAAAAGGAAAGATGGCTTGAGGAAGGGCTATGGGTACTGGAGAAGGACCCAAAGACCCCAGGTTGGAGGAGGAAGTTGTGTGGGCTATGGCCTGAGTTTTATCAAGCAAGACTGGGAAGGCCAGAATACTTAGGCTTTGGGGTGAGGGCAACCTCTGTGATATGTGTGAGTGACCCTCAGGGTCAGAAACTTTATTAAAACCTTACCTGGTATCTCCGGACAGTGATGTTTTGTGGTTCCAACAGAGGCACCCTAAGGAATTGATGCCTGCAAGTCAGAGGACAGCCTTGTGTATTGGTCCTCACCTTCCACCTGGCATGATACAGGACCACTTGGCTTTCTACTGACTACATCAGGCTACCTGGCCCACAAGCTCCTGGGGATTCTCTTGCCTCTGCCTCCCTTCTTATCATGGGTGCACTGGGATTATAGACACACACTACTGTTTAACATAGGTTCTGGGGATGTGACCTGAGGTCTCCACACTTGCATTGTGAGCTCTATACCCACTGAGCCAGCTCTGCAGCACCCTGTCTCTTCTTCATGGCCAAACCTTCCCCTCAACTTATCTTGGAGTCTTTTCTAATTGGCTGGGACACTCTCCAGGGACTGGTCTCTTCTGGAGAGAGCATGTCCTAACCTGTTCCCTCAGCACCTGGCTGTCTATGTCTGAGAAAGAGCTTCAGGCCCCAGGGTCCTCATGGAGAGGCCCTCTCAAATGGAAGAAAAGGTCTGTACTTGACCTTGGCCAAGCAAAGGAGAGTTGCCTTCGGTGCCTTGTGTAACCCACTGGTCTCTTCCACACCAAGCCTTTCTAAATTGAAAGTATAACATTCCATTGTTCAGTGTTCTGCATTATTTTGATACCAGCATTAATCTCTCTGCCAAGGAAACTTACAAAGAGTCCAAAGGGAACTCTGTCACAGTCCTACCCATCCATCTCAACTTACCTTCCCATCTGCCAAGGCAGGGCTGGACTTCGTTTGTTTACGTGTGGTTTGAATTCTTCTCCAGTTAACCTGAGAGTGGTGGGAGAGGAGCAGAGGAATGGTGTCATCAGCTTGGCTGCATGAATCCTCAGGACCCAGAAATATTGCCAAACTAAGTCATGATGTGGCAGTTTCTCTGCCGTATTTAGAGAGCTGTAGCTGCTTGTGTTGGCCTGGCCAGTTGATTTAGATCCAATCAGAATGTCATCCTGTAACTGTCTCCATGGGGAGGTACGCCTGGGTGTGCTGGACAGTAGGCTTGCATCCTCACTAAGTAATAAAACCTTCGGGGTTTCTGCCAGGCCTGTTCTTGTCATCTCCAATACCTCAAGAGATCAGAAAACACTTGTGTAAGAGAAAATGGTATACTCTGTGTTGGGCAACTATATTAGTCTGTTTTCTGCTGCTATGACAGAATGTTTGGTGATGCATAGTATATAAAGAAAAGAGGTTTATTCAGCATATAGTTTAGAGTTTGTTCAAAGATGTGGTGCCAACATCTGTGCCACCCTAGTGGGGGCCTCGTGGCAAAGAGTATCACAATGACAAAAGGCATGCAAGAGGAAGCAGTCACGTGGCAAGACAGGAAGCAAGAATGATTCCATAGCCAACTTTGTTCTTTAAATGTCTCATTCTAGTGGGAACTAATCAGGGTCTCTCAAGAGCTACATACCCTACCTTCCAGGAGGCCCCACCTGTGCAAGGCCCCTCATCTCCCAGCAACAGCTCACTGGAGCCACTCTTTGGGTATCTGGCTCCTGGGGAGCCCACTAAACCATACTCATAACACTGGTCACTGTAGGAAAAAGTCCCCAGTTCTCTGCAGCTCACGGAAGTGTTTCCAGCCCAGAGGATACTCCAGGGCTCTAGGTTTTACTCTCTCTGGGAGTCAGGACCAGATACGACCTGAGGCTCCTCTAGCTCCCGGTCATTTGAGATAAAGGGAAAGGAAGTCTTAAGGGAGGAAGAAGTCGGTTCAACACCACAGAGCCAACACCACTTTTGCTCACAGCCCATTGCCAAGGATTAGTCACAAGGTCCACTAGGTGCCAAGGGCCTGGACAGCTCCTCTAGACCCCAGAAAGGGACCAGCACTCTGTGACTGACTACACCCTACCCTTTGGAGCCCTGGAATTTATAGTCAAGGCAAGAGCAACAACTAGTGTTTCTAGACCACTTCCATTTGCTAAGAGCTTTGCCATGCAAAGACTGGCTTGTTCTCATAGGCATGAATGCCAATATCAACGTGATGTACAGTAGGACAGACCACATATCCCCTAGACCCATGCCATGGATCCTATAAGCACCATCATGTGTTCATTTTCCTCTTTGTACACACCAGTAAAGACATTGATATATTTCTTTGTTATAAGTTCTAGGCCCTGAGACTTCATTTCCTACAGCATCACCTCTGTGGTGGTTTAAATAAGAATGGCCTCGATAGGCTCATAAGGTTCCATACTCGGTCCCCCATTGGTGGAACTGTTTAGGGAGGATTAAAAGGTGTGGCCTTGTTGGAAGAGGGATGTCACTGGGGAGTGGACTTTGAGGTTTCAAAACATGGTTGCCATTTCCAGTCTGTCCCTATCTCTGTCTCTCTATGTCTGTTTCCCTGTCCATCTCTCTGTATCTCTTTCAGTCTCTCTCTCTCTCTCTCTCTTTCCCTCTCTCTCTTTCCCTCTTTCTTTCCTCTTTTCTTTCTCTCTGCTTGCAGATCCAGATATGAACTCTCAGCTATGCCTGCCATCATACCTTTGGTCCACCATCATCATGGACTCTAACCCTCTGAAACCACAAGCCCAATTAAATGACTTCTTTTATAGGTTGCCTTGGTCATAGTGTTTTGTCACAGCAATGGAAAAGAAACTAAGACAACCTCACTGGAGAACTATTAATAGCACTGTGATGTGACTTTGTCTAAAGCTATTGCTGTGAAAGTGTCAAAGCTATTTTGACAAAGCCCTTCTTCCTCACCATATGGGAATGAAAGCCAGCAGTGCCTCATCTGACTGTGTTTAAGCAAACTCTGTTCATTGAAATAGCTGTGAGCAGCTGTACATTGCTTCCAGAAGGCATCCTGGCCCATAGTGCCTGAAGACAGAAGGCCACTGGGGCCTGTGACTCACTGGGGCCTCTCCTTCTCAGGTTCCCATTCCCCATGGTGTTCAGCAGCTGTAGCAGGAAGGACCTGGAGGCTAGCCTGGAGAAGGGAATGGGGATGTGCCTCTTCAACCTACCAGAGGTCAAGCAGGCCTTCGGGGGCCGGAAGTGTGGAAATGGCTATGTGGAAGAGGGAGAAGAGTGTGACTGCGGGGAACCAGAGGTAAGGGGGCCTTCTCCATGGTGCCTACTGTTGCCTCTGGCTGGGAGGAAAGGGAGCTTGGGTAAGCTCAGGCAGCAAAATGAACATGCTAAAACCTGGTGATAAGCTCAAAAGATGCTCACTTGGTAAAGGGCTTTCCATGCAACCAGGAGAACCTTAGTTCCTAAAAACCTGCATGGAAAAGCTTGGTGTGGTCGTCCCAGCACTTGGGAGGCAGAGATAGGCAGATCCCAGAAACATACTAGCCACTCAGCCCTAGAAGTCCCAGTGAGAGATCTTATCCCATAAACAAAGTGGGCAGAACGTGAGGGATGATACTTAACGCTGACTTCTGACCAACACATACACGGGAGAGGAGGGGGAGATAATGAGTTGGTAGTGAGGATGCTGGTGTAATAGAGATTCTCTGGAAAAGTCCCATATGGCTACCTTGAACAAGCTCCCCATAGGGGGTGGCTTTCTGCAGTGTTAACCGTGTATAGAGTTATCTGTATCACTAGGTTTTAACAGGGGAGTGCCTTCTTCTCTATTAAAGGGTGCCCCATTCTTAGGGTGATGAGGATGAAAACAACAACAAAAAAAAGCATTTAGCTCAGAGTTTCTTGTGAAGCAAAGCTCTGGGAGTCCAGCTTCTAAGGGCTCCTCAGTCCCATGCCGTTCTCTCACAAAGCCTGCTGAGAAAGGGGAGGGTGGATAAGCAGCCCTGAGCTGAGCGCTTTCTGTCTAGTTGAGATTCTTCTGCAGCCTCCTCTGTGTGCGCAGCCGAGGTTCCAGAGGATCCAGCCTTTCAGCCTGTTAGTTCTCAGGAACAACAAGAGAAAACAGCCAGCACTGGCTTCGAGCACCATCCTTCCCAAACCCTGCTTTCCAGCTGATCTCTGGGGAGTTTCTTGTTTGTATAGGCCCAAGATGAAGCTGGTCAACATAAAACATGTCTCTCTCCACTCCCTAAATGGTCTTGAGAAAGAACAACAGAGAGAACACTGTCAACTCCCGGCATCACACGTGTCCCACACACAACTTGGAGGAGATGGCCTTCAGAGTAAATCAAAGCTGAGCATTTGTACAACAGGTGGGATGGAGCTCCTGCCATGAGAACATATGCAAGCCAGAATGGGAGACGGGTCTGAGGCAGGCTTAGCCAGGTCCATAGGTGGGCTTCATAACAGCTCAAGAAGCCCGAATCTTAGAGCGCTCCTTTGGAAGGAGGTACCTAGGAAACAAGGAAAGCTGGGATAGGAAGCCAAAGCAGCTTATGTATCCCTGTTCTCATCACAGGAATAATAGACTCTTTATCCTAGCCTGTCTCCAAGTCCCCAAGGAGGCTCCATGCCAGCAGGAATGCTCTTGTTCTCACAGGTTCTGAGAGAAAATGCACAGCACTGGGGGGGTAGGGAAAATCAGATGGAGTGAGGAGAGATGGAAGTAGTTTTGTGTCCTTGACAAACTCAGAACTTATCCATGATAATGGCCTTGTCCACAGCGGTGGTTAATTTTGCTCACAGTGAGCAGGGAGCAGTTGCTGGCTAGGAACAAGTCCTAATTATAGTGCTACAGAATGGCTTCAGGATTAACAGAGGGAAAAGTGAAGCCATCATGGGGTAGCGTATGCAAAGGAGAAAAGTCCCTCAGAGGCCTTGTTAATTGCTTAAAGAAACAACCCAATTAGTTTAAATTACCCACATGTCTCAGGAGAGGCCATGTTGACTTAAGATGGTTTGTCTTTGATCTGAATGCCTTATAATTATTTATTAATGCAAATAAATCTGATGGTTCTTCATGGAATCGTGAATGCTGAAATTTGGGATGACTTCACTGGCAGCCATCCACCCCATTTGCCTCCATTACCATCTACCACCACAGCTGTCATCACTGCCACATCCGTTACCATCATCACCATCCTCTCCACACCACCATCCTCACACTGCCATCCCACCATTAATTGCCATCTCCACAACTGCCATCACTACCTTCAACATACCTGCATCACCACCCCACTCACTACTGCTGCCACACCAGTGTCACGATTGCTATCGCTACATCCTGACCATCATCATCAACATCCTCAGCGCTATCACCACCAGCACCGACATATCAGCAGACCCTTGACTTCCTATTGCCAGCTACGCATGCCCTGGTCCTTCATCTCCACAAAAGAATCCTACAGTCATGGACAGGTGCATGATCTCCCTCCAGGGACCTCACTACACTGTGGGGCAGTGTTGACTGTGACAAACTCCTCATTAGATAGAGCCAAATTCTGCTTTCATGTAGTTCCCAACCCAACTGTGGGTAGGGTCCTCTTTTTTTCATAAAGAGATTTGTTGATATTTTAAGAAAACTCCCTTCTCTTCATCGAAAGCACTTCCTCCCAAGAAATCTGCTAACATCACAGTGAACCTTGTGCCTCACTGGTGAGTGTCATTTTAATGTACTTTTTAAAGTTTTAGGTCTAGATTCAGACATTAATTGTGCCTGGCCACGCACACTAGTTTTGTTCTCTTGATGTGCTAAAACACTCTGGCCACAGGTAACTTAGGCAAGGAAAGAATTCCCTTGGCTTACATCTCCAGGTCACAGTCCATCACTGAAGGAAGTTGGGGCAGGAACTCAAGCAAGAACATGAAGCAGAAACCATGGAGGAGCATTCCTTGTGAGCTCACTCTCAGGCCCATGCTCAGACAGCTTCCTTTATCAGAACCAGAACCACCTGCCCAGAGATTGGCACTATCCACAGTGAGCTGGGCCATCCTAAATCAACTCAAAGTCAAGACACCCCCCCACAGACATGCCCAGTCTGTTCTGGGAAACCCCTTGACTGAGACTCCCTACCAGAGTCATCTAGGCTGTATCAAACTTACCAGGACACCAAACTTCTTTGCCTGAGACTTTCATCCAAACCTACTACCTGGGCTCTTTTTCCTGGTCCCAGTGCCCAGGTCCTCCAGACACTCCTCCAGCTGTTAATCATGCCAAACCATGCATCCCCTGGCCCAAGTGGGACTCAGTATGTCACATCAGGGAAGCAGGGAATGACAGGTTAGTGTGATATACACCAGCACACAGCTGGAACAAGCCTGTGTGTGCTCTCTCACTTCCAGAAGTAAGACTGTGTGGTCCTTACACGGGTTCTTTAATGGCTTCGTTATTCTTATTTGGAGACCTGACATTCATTGGTTCTGTTGTTTCTCTGCTGACTACTAAAATAGTAAATGCATCAATAGCCAAGGAATTTGTCTCTTCTGAGAAATACAGTAGTACAGAAATAGATTTGAGGTAGTTAATTGTTTTTACCTTCTGGTAGAAGGCATTAAGGATTCCCTGATAACCCACCTACCCTTCCATCTAACCAGGCTGGTAACACTGCCCCATCTCATTTAAAGTCAAGAGGATACCAGTCCCTCACACATCTTTTAAATGTCATTATCTTTCTCGTGTGATTGATCCCCTTTGAAGTCATTCCACTTGGCTATATTCCCATTGGGGCTGCTGCTTACATTTCTAGTGATTTGAGGGGAGGCAGGAGTCTTTACAAGTATTTTAGACCCAGATATCAAATGGCTGCTTTAACTCAGCATTGCAAGGAAGTGTCTGGCTCAGCTACTATAACATTAGGGAAGTCACTGAGACCATAGCAAGCCGTACAGCACTGCTGCACATTCAGTGGCACTGGTCCAGGATGCAATTAATGGGATCCTTAAGCGGGGGAAAGTTTCTAAACTTGTATAGAGTTGTAAGCCCATAAGCTAAAAACCCTTGCTGTCATGAAAGCTGCCGCAATGACTTCTGGTTGGCAGCTTTATCTTACTGTGTACATTACATGTCCCGGATGTTTATAAAGTCCTCAAACAGATTTAAAATTTAACAGCTTTGGAAGTATGCATGGTAGGAGCAAACATAAACACTACATGAGAGATCAGTTCATGGAGCTCCACAGTGGATGCTGGACAGGTATCTAGGGATGCACTAAATCTTCCCAAACACTGGCAGATTTATTAATCGCATCTATGAGAGTGATGAGAAATTCACTCATGAGAGATATTTTTTCCAAGATATTTTACTCTTAGACATGGATTGGATTAGTTTCATGCCAGCTGGTCAGGTGTAAGTTCTTCAGAATTTATCAAAAATAAAAGAATGTTGAGACACGGGCAGTATTAAATGTTCTGTGACATTTTCATCTAAATCGCACAAATCCCAAACTACCAGGAGGCTCTGAAGCTCATGGACTTTAGGTGTCTACTACACAAATGGGTGCAGACCTTCTGCTCAACCAGGCAAAGGGTGTTGATTCCCATCTCTCTTTGTCGGAACACCATGTGGTCACATGGTACACTGTCTACTAAAGGAGTAGTAACTTTTCTTTCAGAGAGGGTGAGACATCTCAATTTTTAAGTGTTTAGATCCCTTGAAAATGGGCATGCTCAGACCAGGTGTGGTAGCATGAGCCTACAATACCCATACTAAGGAGTGAGAGACAGGAGGATCACCCACCAAGGGTTGGGGGACAGCATGTCTACAGAGGAAATGCCATGCCAGCCAGGCCCACATAGAGAGACCTTGTCTCACAAAATAAGAAAGGAGGCTGAGAATATAGCCCAGTTTGGAGTGTACTTGCCTTGCATCCATGAGTCCTTGGGTTTGATAAATATTTTAAGAGAAAGGGAAAAAGGAAAGGAGAAAGAAAAGGGGAGATAAGGGAGGGAGGGGGGAGGGAGGGAGGGAAAGAAAAATGAAAATAAAATGAGAACCAGCCCCAACATCCTTTGGCATTATTCTGATGTCCAATCCTCTTCCCAGAATGTCCTAGGCCAAGGACCTTCCTTTGCTAAACAAGGGTTTCTTCCTCACCCACCTGGCTACACCACAGTGAACTAGCCTGAGGGTTTTTTTTCCCTGTATACTCCAAATTAGAAGTAGAAACCCCCCCCCCCATTTTTTTAACAAATACACCAAACAAGTGCTGTATCACTGAGCTGTATTCTATCCATCAGGAAAATTCATTCTTAAGGAGTAAGGGTCACAACTATGTATAGGTTTTTGTTTTGTTTTGTTTTTTGAGACAGCATTTCACCATGTAGCTCTGGCTGTCCGGGAACTCACTCTGTAGACCAGGCTAGACTAGCCTCTAACTCACAGAGACCCACCTGCCTCTATCTCCCAAGTGCTGGGATTAAAGGCGTGTGCTGCCACCACCAAGCATGTATTTTTAAATGTGCAACTTCCAAGTCCTTCAATGATTCCAACACAGCTCACTACATGGCCTGAAGGAAGAATTCCCTGGAAGCACCATGTGCCACTGACCTGAAGAGCTCCCAGCTCTGCCTGCCGGCCCTCCTCCCATGAAGGGCACTTGCATGCTCTGGACTTCTCTTAGCAACACCAGACTCCATGGTCCACAAACACTCAACAGGCACTTTGCTCTTGTGCCAAGGGAAACAGTCTGGGGCAGGTTTTCAGCTCCGGATCTGGGCTACCTTATCCTTCGTCATCATTTAGGGTGTGACATTTGCATTCTGAGAGTCACCACTCCATATGACCCTTCAAATGGATCCCATTGCCCTCCTCAGGAATGTACCAATCGCTGCTGTAATGCCACCACCTGTACTCTGAAGCCGGATGCTGTGTGTGCACATGGGCAATGCTGTGAAGACTGCCAGGTGAGTTCAGCTTGGCCTGAGGTTGCTAACTGGTCTGGGTGGCTCTAGTCTGATGCAAGTGCAGCAGTACAGTGGGCTGATTTCCCCAAGCTCATCCCAGGAAGCTGCTCTATCACCAGTCAGTACCATCTAGCTGTTCTTGGAATTTTCTGATCTGGTAAAATGAACATTCTAATTGTTAATTATTGTGATAAATTGTCTGTGGCCCAGAAACCCAAGCTCAACCTTAATATTCCATTTTATCTTATGGGGTCCTAACTCTATGAAAAAAAAGGGAGGAGATCCCAGCCCTACTCCTGTCACTCAGCTTCATGCCAGGTCTACGTGCCTGATACCAATGTCTGGTGGGTAGCAGAGAACCCATGCTGGTGGTTCCTGGAATGTCTGCACCAACAGAAAGTGCAGGCCACCCTGAACTGCCAGAATGGGAGTTGCCTGACTTGCTGTCTGTGCTGATGTGACAGTGCCTGCTTTGGCATTCCCACCAGTCATCCTGTTTATTCAGAATGCATGTCTTAGGCAGGGAGGCCTGAGCATTAGAGGTTCCCAGGACAGACTTTTATGCCTTGGTACTTAAGCAAGTGATCTTGGCACAAAGATTGCTGGAAACTCCGTTATCCACCCCACCCACCTAAGCACATCATTTAGAAGTGTGTTATAGTGTGTGTGTGTGTGTGTGTGTGTGTGTGTGTGTGTGTGTGTGTGTGTGTGTGTCCCCTCACTAAATTCTGGAGAATGTTGTTAAGAAGTACCTGGTACCCAAATACCCAGGTACTACTGCTGGAGAGTGCCAGGAAGGAAATGAGAGAAGATGAGAGCAGCTGAGCCTACTTGAGAAAGGCTCAAGACAGTCAGGAGGGAGGGAGAGATATGTGAGGATACCCAACTGCTATCTACTTTTGTAGCTTTCAAGTAATCCCTTCCAAACTTCAGACCTTCTAGGAGTTGGTAGGTGATTCACTTTGTTGCCTTTGGGAGTATGCAGGCCAGCCAAGCCTGAGATTTGGTGGCCTTGACTATGGAGCTCAGACAAACTCCCCTGAACCTTAATTTCTTCAGCCTAAAAGATGAGCTGCTGGTCAGAGGTCTAACAGCTCTCACTGGTAGCCGCTACCACTGCTGCTTCTGCTGCCACCTCCTGGTCCTTCTCCCCACCCTCTTCCTCCTACCCTTCCTGCCAGCTTTCCCCATAAAGTGATAAAGAGGACCCTGGTTCTTTAACAACAGCATAGCACTGCTATTGAGAGTCAGATCTTGCTGATTTTGCTGCCTTGCCCTAAAAGCCTAAGGAGAAGGACAAGCGTCAACTTAGAGCATGTGTCAACAGCCTGAGAAAAATCCACCTCTTTGACAAGATACTGAACAAGAGCCATCTTGTCTGCCCTTTGGAGAACCCTAGTGTTACCTGCAGTTCCCACACAAGCTATTCTTGGCTGCCCACCCAGCCTTCTAGCACAAATGTGAACCTCACAAAACCATTTAAGGAGAGCTCTCTGCCATCAAAGGGGATGGCGTCAAAATCCCCAGCTGTTTACATGACTGTAGTAGGTAGCCTGTTGTGTTCTGCCCCAGGAGAGCTACTAGGGACTGTTTCCTCCTACTTGGTACATGTGCCATAAGCCACCTTGTCATTTCAGCTGAAGCCTCCGGGAACTGCATGCAGGCCCTCCAGCAACTCCTGTGACCTCCCAGAATTCTGCACAGGGACTGCCCCTCACTGCCCAGCCAATGTATACCTACATGATGGGCACCCATGTCAGGGAGTGGATGGTTACTGCTACAACGGCATCTGCCAGACCCATGAGCAGCAGTGTGTCACGCTCTGGGGACCAGGTACGTGGTCTTTCCCGGTTCTATGAGGGACACTGGAGAAGTAAGCCCTATGTGCATGAGTCTGTCCTGGCTCCTCAGGGCACTCCTCCACACATGCCCATTCTGCTCTGTAAGGAAGCTGAAACTCTGAGACAGGAGTCTGCTTCTGCAGGAGGCCTGGCTAGGATTAAGCCTGGTCACTGTGACCCAGCCTCTGGGTATAACTCCCAAATGCAAGTCATCCCCATGAGCAGATGAGGCTTTGATCTAAAGTTCCATTGAGGTTCTAAAATGCAGATTAATGCTCAGGGCCCTGCATGTACAGCTCCTCCAGGGCTCCACTCTGAAGTCAGATCCAGGGTATCTCAGGGCAACCTAGATACTGGAGTCCTAGTGCATAAGAGCCTCACTACCCCAGACCTCACTACCGGGGGAGGGGGAAGGTCTCATGACCCAGGACCCTCACCCTGCTCTGGAGGCCTCGCTGCCCCAGGAGTTTACCACCCTAGGCCTTATTACTAGGACCTCTTGCCACTCTGGGGAAGGCCTTATTACCTAGAAACCATTCTGGATCTGCTCCATTTACAGCTCCCAGGATCCTGGCTAGGAATCCCACTGGAGATGTTCTCTGAATGTGTTGCAATTCTTTCTTTCCATTATGCTTGGCTGAGTCCTTACTTAAGGCTAAGAGATGACCTCAGACCTGGCCAGAGGCCCCAGCGCCAGCAAGGCCGCTATGGTCAGCCAGACTCAGACCTCAACATGAGCCAGCTCCAGGGGAAACCAGAGACTTTCTTTGGGGCTCTGGATTCCAGAGGGATAAGAGGAGTCAACCAGGACAGAAAAATGATGAGCAAATACAGAAGCCTGGTTTTAACAGCTTCATGGGTATGATGCCCAAGCCTGGAGAGTCCTCAATGCCCAGCAAAGACACCCCTTACTTGGAGCTTTCTGGGGAAGAAGAAAGTGTGGACTGGTGGCTCCCATAAGTGGATGTACCCTGGATAGGTAGACTAAAACAGTCCTGAGACTTCTTTTCCTTCACACTTCCTCTTTAGAGCCGCAGTGCTAGCCCTCTTACCTGATGCCTACAAGACAAAGGTAGGATGCCACCATTACAGCGACAGGCACTAGGAAGACACTCATTATACATGTGTCAAGTAGTCGTGGGACTCTGAATGGATTACAGAGTTCAGACACCTTTCAGGCAAACAAGGTCACTTTAGGACAGGGGCTAGTGCAGCAGGCCTCAGACATCTCTAGTGGCCCTTCCACTCTCCCATTGCTTCCACAGGCAGGAAGCTCCCATCTAAAGTTACAGTGGCTAGTCTGCTGCTCCCTTTATGGGAGCTGTCATTGGCTAGCATGCCCAGCCCTTGGAGCTTTTTAGTGCCCAGCTGTGCTATGAGACCTGGCCCCAGCTCCAGAATGAGCTCAGATGGAACAGTATAGTATTCCCCAAGCCATTGTGCTGTGTAACTCTGCTGGCTGTCATGGTGACCAAAGCAGGTATTTATCAAGAGAAAATAAAAAAAATGAGGGGGAGACAGACAGATAGAGATTGAGATCAGTGAGGCTGGAAGATGGCTCAGTCAGTGAAGTACTGGCCAGGCAAATATGAGGACCTGAGCCCTGATCCATTTTTAGATACATCTGTGTAAAAAGCTGAGCATGGCAGCCAAGCTTGTAATCCCAGCACTGGGGACATAGAGATGGGATCCCTGGAGCTTGCTCTAGCCAACCTACCCAGTCTCTAAGCCCCTGTAGGAGAGAGAGGTGACAGAGGGAGACAGCCAACATTGACCATATGCAAGCAGCAGGGCCAGGGAATAGAGACAGAGATGTGTGCAAACTAGACATACAGAAGCCAATCTGACTGACAGATGGACTTCTCCAAAGCAAGAAAGTTAGCCTTCTTTTTTTTAAGATTTATTTATTTATTATGAATATAACATTCTGCCTTCATGTATGCCTACAGGCCAGAAGAGGGCACCAGATCTCATTACAGATGGCTGTGAGCCACCATGTGGTTGCTGGCAATTGAACTCTGGACATCTGGGAGAATAGTCAGTGCTCTTAACCTCTGAGCCATCTCTCTAGGCCCATGTCCACCTTTTTGAATGTTTCCCATCATGGTAGCTGAGGCCTGGCAGCTTTATAATCTGCATATCTTCCTGAAGAAGGGGCATCCCCCGAGAGTCCACACACACACACACACACACACACACTCGCTCACTTAGCTCTTCTCTGTCCCAGCCACCTTCTCATTGGTGGCTGAGAAGACCCTGGCACAGGTGCAGTGGGGTTGTCTAAAGTGGTTCTTTGCACAGGGTGCTGAGGGAATCAGAGTGGCCAGGTCTGATGAACCACCTCACACCGTGGCTCCCTGGGTTTTCATGTGCCCCCACCAGACCTTTCTCAACACAGACCATGAAAGAACATCCTCAGATGAGAGGGGACATGGAAGGCTTCCAGCTGGCTGAGGCCATGGCTTCTTAGCTGCCCCTTGCAGTGCATCATGGCACTGCATCTCCATCTTGGTGGGACTGCCTGGCTTTCCAATTGATGACACTATGTGAGTCCCCTGTGTCCAGGGCCTTAGCGTCTCGTGACAGGAAAAGTTACAGCTTACAATTCTGGAGATCCGAATCCTCAGATCCAAGTGCTGGCAGGACATAGCACATGCAGAAATTTGGGGGCAGAATGTTGTCTTACTGACTTTTCCAGCTTTCAGAGCTCGCCTGTGTTCTTGACTCTCAGCCCCTCCTCCTTCAGGGGCCAGGAGTGCAGCAGTTGTCTGTCCGTCCATCTTTTCTGACCTTGCTTCAGTAGTCTTCTGAGCCTGCCCCCCTCCTGTTTCCCTTGCAAGTACTCATAGGATTCTATTAGGCCCACCGGGGTCTACATCTCCCCATCTCAAGATCTCTAAATTAATCATGTCTGCAAAGTCCCTTCAGTCATGTAAGGTACCACACTGATAGGGTCCATACTGGAGAGGATGGGCTGGTGTTGAACACTGATGCTGAACCACTCGATATTCCTTCAGAAAACCCCTGAACCTTCTTGTACCTTGGCTGTGAAGTGGAATTAGTGCCTTTGTTAGACCCCCGGAAAACTCAAGTATCCGGGGTCCCAGGCCACGACTGCGGTCACCCCAATCACCAGGCGGATTCGAGAGCTTGATGCAAACTGCATGAGGCTTTATTGTAATTTAACGAGCTAACCCCATGTTAGCTCAGGTCTTTCACCCACCCGCCATGGCGGATGGCTAGCAAAAGACGGCTCCTAGGGGCTGCCAAGAGATCTTATAGGAGAGCGTAAGGGGAGTGTCTAGGGGTACGCACAGGCTCATGATTGGTGTGCCTCCAGGCTTGGAGGGCTTGCCCTGTGTTGATTGGTCAACTGGTTGTTATGGTCCATAGGCCCTCCCAGGGTGGTTGCTATGCTCTCTACGTCATTGCTGTGTGCTTGTCCGTAAAGCACACCCAGAGTCATAAAGCATAGCGCCACCAGCTAACTTCTGATTGGTTCCTTGTCACAAGGCAGGCATCTGACTTTCTAGTGACTAACTTCTGATGGGTTCCTTGTCACGAGACAGGCATCTGACCTCTAAGTGACCAAGGCAAGTTTATGGCAAGCACGTGTTCGGCTGTTATGGCTTCCGAAAGGGGAGCAGGTCCCTTCACCTTACCTTCTCCATGCATGTAGCATCTTCTAATGTAGCCCATACTCTATTCATAGTCATACTCTAGCAGAATGCATGAAGGAACAGCCCTGGTGCTCAGCACCTGGTAAATCTAAACTCAACCGATGCAATGTAAGTGTGTTCTCAGGAGATGGGGATTTGTAGAAAGGGCTCTGAGAGGACAGCACAGTGGACAAGATGTGGTGGAAACAGGAGAGAGCACTTGGATTGGGGGTAGAGAGCAGCCAGGTTGAAGGAGTCTGAGAGAAACTGTCCTGCAGTGATCATCTGGAAGAGGCAGTGTTTCCAGCATCCAGGACTGGGTAGAGAGCACACAGCAGCGGCAAGGCCAAGGCAGGAAGTGCAGATAGTTCTGTTTGTGTAGAGCTGTGACTTGGACAGCAGCAGAGATCCTCATCTGTCATTCATTCTCTCATTTGTTAAGTATTTGCTGACGTCCTGCTGGGTAGGAGATGCTGACTCAAGAGCCTGCTTGTGCCAGAGGAATGCACTGCCTAGGGTCCCTGCATGCTTTGCTCAGGATATGATTCCCTTTGTCCCATCCCCCCACCACTACCAATAAGTCCTTACCCTGCCCTGGGGTTATGTAGCCCCGGGGACAGGGGTGACTTCCTGGGCTGGGGCCCCGGCCAGCCAGATGTTTTGGACTGAGAGCATTACAGTGCTGTAGTGGTTGGTGCAAATGAACTTTCCATGATTCAGGAAGCAAGCCTTTGTCCAGGATGCATTTGCAGTGTCTCATCTTCCCACTCAACAATAAGAGCCCAGATCTAAGCCATGTTGTGTAAGGGCCACCAGAGACCTCCAGGGACGAGGGTCACTCAGAACTCTAGAATTCCTTGAGTCGTTGCTTGGATGGCTATGCCATTCATACCCAGTGACCTGGCCAAGTTATTGAGTCACATCAAATTCTCCGGTTCCATCCAGGATGTCCGTTACTCATGCCTCAGAGCTGGCTACCCAAAGCTGACCGGATGAAGCCCTTCCTTCCAGCTATTCCTTTTTGAGATGGGCTTTTCTCAGGCTAGCATTGGATTTCAATAAAATACTCCTGCTTCCAAGTCTCCCTAGAAATAAAGCCATAGAAAATTCAAAACATGTGCCTGCAACTCCTAAGTGGCAGTGTGACAAACTTTCAGAATACCTTCTTTGGAGTTTGTGCATTTGCTTAGTTTTTAATCTAATTATTATCTTTAATATTGTTGAAAGTCTTCCTGTTAGCTGGGGCAGTTTTCTTCTCCTACCTGATTTTCTACCACATCTCACGGTGGTTGTGTGCAAGTTGAGGCCAGAAGTTGATGTCACTTGTCATCAT